CTGCTCACTCCACCTCTAAAACAAGTATCCTACCTGCATCTCTCCTGGGCCACTCTTCTCTGCTCACTCCACCTCTAAAACAAGTATCCTACCTGCATCTCTCCTGGGCCACTCTTCTCTGCTCACTCCGCCTCTAAAACAAGTATCCTACCTGCATCTCTCCTGGGCCACTCTTCTCTGCTCACTCCGCCTCTAAAACAAGTATCCTACCTGCATCTCTCCTGGGCCACTCTTCTCTGCTCACTCCGTCTCTAAAACAAGTTTCCTACCTGCATCTCTCCTGGGCCACTCTTCTCTGCTCACCCCTCCTCTAAAACAAGTATCCTACCTGCATCTCTCCTGGGCCACTCTTCTGCTCACCCCTCCTCTAAAACAAGTATCCTACCTGCATCTCTCCTGGGCCACTCTTCTCTGCTCACCCCTCCTCTAAAACAAGTATCCTACCTGCATCTCTCCTGGGCCACTCTTCTCTGCTCACTCCGCCCCTAAAACAAATTTTCTCTAAATCTCTTCGTGAGGCATTGTTCCCCCTGAGTATTCCATTTGAAATACTTGACGCCGGCTCCACACCACGTCATCCTTGTGTTTCGTATCTCCCATCCTAATTCCCAGCTTCAAATTTATGACTGACAGCTCATATTATTATCGTGCTGTCACCTTAATTTCCATGGCCCCGAACTCAAAAAGTGTTCCCATGAATTTGTGTTTCAACAATAACAACCAGGAGAAAGACAAAAGAGGATCTTGAAGGTATATTTAGCTCTATGGTTCTTGACGCCTTTCAATGACGAATGCGTCCTTGACATTGTAAGTAGTCCGTCGAAATCAGACGGTGGACAACCTTCCTTTTAAATTTTTTTTTATTTAGGTCCAAAAAAACTTATGGTCAGCTCTGTGGTCAAAAATAAAAAAAATAATAACGTGATGTGAGGAGAGCTGCTAAATTCCCCAGAATTCCATTTCGAGGGCCGGGATTGCCTGTTTTTTTATGTCTTTTGGGATTCAACTCAATAAAGCAAGCAAACACTATTCATTTTCAAACATACCATTGAACAAATTATGAAGGAATATTGTTGAATATAAGGATGCGTGTGTTCAAGGCGTGGGTTTAAAGAGTAAGTCGTTGAGTGGGTTCAGTGCGTGGGTTCAGTCCTGTGGCAGTTTAGAACTTATTGTTTTATTGGTTAATTTCTAGTAGCGTCGAAAAGCACCCAGAGACGAAATACCGAAAAACAAAACAAAAAGCAAAAAAACAAAAAAAAAAAACCCAATTCCAAATGAAGTATAAACTATTACTTTACTTTTAAATTATGTTTAATAAAATAGCAAGAAATTTACTTTTTTTTTTAAAAAAATTTTTTTTCATTAAACCCAATTTAAAATTCTATTTTTAAGAAATGTCAAATAAAATATAAGAAAAAACACACAGAAAAAAAAAACCGAAAAAAAAAAAAAAAAACAAAAAAACAAAAAAAAAAAACCCAATTCCAAATGAAGTATAAACTATTACTTTACTTTTAAATTATGTTTAATAAAATAGCAAGAAATTTACTTTTTTTTTTAAAAAAATTGTTTTTCATTAAACCCAATTTAAAATTCTATTTTTAAGAAATGTCAAATAAAATATAAGGTTTAGTTTGTAGCATTTGATTTTCTTTTCCCACAGCTACAAACTGTGAACTATGCATTAAAAATATTCAATAAAAATTTCAGCGGTGCTGTTATGAATGCACACATTCGAAAAATATTCAAATGAAAAAACCGAGATAAACCATCAAAAGTATTTTTCATAGAAATGTTTGAGCACAGCAGGCCTAGAAGATTTCCGCAAACGGTTTCTGACACATGCATTTCTCGAGCGGGTAGAGACAGTAGCCCCGGGCCACGTTGACACAGACCATGTTGTTGCAGCATCTTGTCTCCCAGGGAACGCACGCCTCCATGTAGTTGGAACACTGGGGAATAAGAGAGATATTTAAAGCAATGAGATATCATTTTGGGATTTAATTCAGTTCTTATTAAACTGTGATTGGATGAAAGGTCATTGAGATGGAGAAAAGCCATTGAGATGAACAAAAGCCATTGAGATGGAGAAAAGCCATTGAGATGAACAAAAGCCATTGAGATGGAGAAAAGTCATTGATACGAACAAAAGCCATTGAGATGGAGAAAAGCCATTGAGATGAACAAAAGCCATTGAGATGGAGAAAAGCCATTGAGATGGAGAAAAGCCATTGAGATGAAGAAAATCCATTGAGATGAAAAAAAGCCATTGCAATGGAGAAAAGCCGTTGAGCTGGAGAAAAATCATTGAGCTGGAGAAAAGCCATTGAGATGAAAAAAGCCATTGAGATGGAGAAAAACCATTGAGATGAACAAAAACCATAGAGATGAAAAAAAGCCATTGAAATGGAGAAAAGCCGTTGAGGTGGAGAAAAGTCATTGAGCTGGAGAAAAGCCATTGAGATGAAAAAAGCCATTGAGCTGGAAAAGTCATTGAGCTGGAGAAAAGCCATTGAGATGAAAAAACCATTGAGATGGAGAAAAGCCATTGAGATGAACAAAAGCCATTGAGATGAAAAAAGCCATTGAAATAGAGGAAAGCCATTGAGATGAAAAAAGCCATTGAAATGGAGAAAAGCCGTTGAGCTGGAGAAAAGTCATTGAGCTGGAGAAAAGCCATTGAGATGAAAAAAGCCATTGAGATGGAGAAAAGCCATTGAGATAAACAAAAGCCATTGAGATGGAGAAAAGCCATTGAGATGAACAAAAGCCATTGAGATGGAAAAAAGGCGTTGAGATGGAGAAAAGCCATTGAGATGAACAAAAGCCATTGAGATGGAGAAAAGCCATTGAGATGAACAAAAACCATTGAGATTAACAAAAGCCATTGAGTTGAACAAAAGCCATTGAGATGGAGAAAAGCCATTGAGATTGAGAAAAGCAATTGAGACTAAAAAAAATCCATGCAAATATTTTGGATATTTGAATGTTAAAATGTGAATAGATATAAGATAAGAGATTTAAAAAAAAAAAAAAAATTACCCAAAGAAATGAAAATCTTTTTGGTTAAAATATTCATTTTCACTTTCATCACATAGCTAGATCTAAATATTCTGAACATGACAACATTTTAAAATTATAACAATTTCAACACAAGGCATTTCTCAAGTGCAAAATTCACCAGTCATAAAACATGGAGCGTCAATGGTTGACTAAAGAGTGATTATTTGGATTTTGTACCAGCCGGGGGAGCAAGCGGATAAATTTTAACAGATTGGGAAGCAAATGAATTTTGAAATCTTTGGGTCTTAACTAAGAGGGACGGAATAAAACGTGCCGTGCCCATAGTCGTGCCAATAGACGTGCCAATAGTCGTGCCAATAGACGTGCCAATAGTCGTGCCAATAGACGTGCCAATAGTCCTGCTAACAGTCATGCTTATAGCATTAAGTTATAACAGGTCTTGATAAAATAATGTGTACAAAAATGTTAGATAGGTTTTTTTACACTCACACACACACGCGCGCACACACACACACATGTATATATATATATAGTGTTGATTTTTTAAAACATTTTATTTTTTGGGTATATCACCTCATTGGTACTACACATTCACTCATCGGTACTGCACATTAACTCACCGGTACTACACATTAACTCACCGGTACTACACATAAACTCACCGGTACTACACATTAAGTCACTGGTACTGCACAATAACTCACCGGTACTGCACATTAACTCACAGGTTCTGCACATTAACTCACCGGTACTACACATTAACTCACTGGTACTGCACATTAACTCACCAGTATTGAACATTAAGTCACCGGTACTGCACATTAACTCACCGGTACCACACATTACCTGACACCCTTCTTTGGCAGACAAGCCAGAACGAGATACAAGAAAGGCTATGAGTTAAAAATCTACCAAATAAATATGGGCAATGTTACAGCTTTTTAAAAACTGTTTTCTCTCTACTCGTGATGTACATCTCACTTACAACAATTGATCATTAAATAGCCATATATATAAAATTTAAAAGAAAATTTGATATAAAAATGTAAAATATAGAAATGAAAAAAAAAAAAGAAAAGAAGATGAGACCAGATGATAAAAACGTTGCATCTTTCGATAACGGGTCATTCCATAAAGAGGAGAGAATTCAAGGAATTCCCAACCGGACCGGTGATACATGTTATCATCAATAAAGCTAAGTCATGCATAATTTAAAGATAAAAAAAAAACTAATTCACTCCCTATCCCGCCCCCAAAACAATCTATGACAAAATAATAAAAAAATATCGAACTTATGAAACATTAGTATTTCTATCGTTATATTTTAGTTTGTTTACTAAATTTAGAGAATGATTATAAGCTGCGGTTACAAATAAACAATGAACTGCACTGCCAAATTTAAGAAAATAAAAATTTCGATGTGAAGTATGCAAGGGTTGAAAAGACAACCTGCCTCCATATTCTACGAGAGGACATTTAAGCATTTTAACAAATAGAACGTGTCTCACAAATCTTGTTGATCCTGCAGTTACTCCGCGTTGGACGCCCCAAAGAACGACCTTCCACCGTCCACGATGAGGTGCTGTCCGGTGATGCCGGCAGCGTTATCCGAGACGAGAAAGACAACCGCGTCGGAAACGTCTTCGGCGGAGCCCTCATAGTGAGGCAGGGCCACGGATTTCTTTTCTCTGTTGATCCAGTCGACGGCTGCCTGTGTGTGGACGAAGTCCCTTCCTATCCTAGTCTGTATATTTCCTGGGTTGACCGTGTTCACCCGGATGCCTTTAGGGCCGAGTTGCACCGCCAGACAGTGACACAGATGCCCGAGGGCGGCCTTGGTCATGGGGTAGATGATGTCGGGGACCAAAACTAAGGAGCTGAATACGGAAGAGACACAGAGGATGCTTCCTTTGGTTTTCTCGAGATGAGGCAGGGCGTCTTGGATTAGAAAGAACACGGCCTTGACATTGATGTCCATTGTGTTATCGTAAATTTCGGGTGTTGCGTCTCGAATCGTCGCATCGGGAACGGCCACACCAGCATTGGCGACCAGGATGTCCAGCTGTCCGAACGCCGTAATAGTCTTGTCAACAACATTTCGTCTACACTCCGCGTCTTTGAGATCCCCCTGAATAGTGATAAACCTTTCTTTGTGTCCTCCGCTGACCTCAACAGCCCTGTCCAGCACCGACTCCAATCTGCGCGGATCGCGTCCACACAAGGCGACCCTTGCTCCCTTAGCAGCGAAATGAATGGCGATGGCTTCCCCTATTCCAGAACTTGAGCCAGTCACTATGGCAACCTTACCCTCTAAGCCATTACTCATCTTTCTTGGTCAATGAGAATAATATAGATATCAAATAAAAACACAATTATTTTGTTAAACAGCTCTGTTCTTTAACACATTTGGCTCTGATAAAAAAACACACGTTAATTTAAGGGAAAGTCTTTATCCTTAAATATATTTATCTTGTCGTTGTTCATAGATAGATTCTAGAAGAGTAATGGCAAAAGTCCAAGAATCCTGGGCAAATGTGTACAGGAAGTGTGTTGACTTATATAATAACACCGCCGGTAATGCATGTGTAAGCAAAGGGTCGCGGCGCCAGATGTCGCTTGAGCGATCCTGTTATTCAGTTCTCATTGTTGACGGAAACGACAAGGGTGTGTGTGTGTGTGGGGGGGGGGGAAGAGAAGTAATGATCATATCAGATTTAAATCGGAATATGACAACGGGACCTTGACCCTGGCATGAGGAAAACAGTATTTATAATGTTACGATCGCTGTTTATACGTTGAAAGAGTTGAAACAACGGTATAAGCAACATAAAATAGGAATTATTGCTTGACAATAATGGGTAAGACTATTGAGCAACACTAATTATACTTCTTTACTCAACTAAGTTGAAAAAGTAAATACTTATTTTAGCCGTTTTAAAATAATATAAAGAAAAAGAAATGTACCATACATTTCTGGTATGAAAAGAAGAAAAAAGTGATTGAAAATGCATGTTTAACTTGGCCGGAACTACGTTGGTACTCTTCATGTATGTTTTGTGTTGTTATTGTGGCGGGGCAGAGTCACCAAAGATGTACTTTTGCTCCACATTTTTACGCACATTATTGTGGCTGGACAGAGTCACCAAAGATGTACTTTTGCTCTACCTGTTCACGCACATTATTGTGGCTGGGCAGAGTCACCAGAGATGTACTTTTGCTCCACCTGTTTACGCACATTATTGTGGCTGGGCAGAGTCACCAAAGATGTACTTTTGCTCCACCTGTTCACGCACTTTGTTGTTGCTGGGCAGAGTCACCAGAGATGTACTTTTGCTCCACCTGTTTACGCACATTATTGTGTCTTGGCAGAGTCACCAAAGATGTACTTTTGCTCTACCTATCTACGCACATTATCGTGTCTGGGCAGAATCACCAAAGATGTACTTTTGCTCCACCTGTTTACGCAAATGAGATCACACAGATGCTGTTTATAATTTTTATGATTTCATTAGAGTCAGTCCGGTGTATCTGTCCAAGTGACTTCCCTACTGGCCAGACCACCTACCCCCACCTCCACCCCAAATCATTCATTAATTGTTATTTTTAAAATACTTATGAAGTCAAAGTCCAGACTCGCATAAATGTATCTGCAGCATACATCATGATATTTCGTACACTGTGGAACGAAATGATAGATTAGATCTGATGCACTTTGTCCCGTATGAATAAATGAATGTTGTTTAAAACAAAATTTAGTGACAGTGAAGGTAGACCATGGGAAAGTGGTAGAGCACACATCACCATGGTGTAGACCATAACACAACCTGCTATGGAGCAGGTGTATACAATCTTTTTGTACAGAGGATCACGTGGACATTTTTTTAAAAATTTTTTTTGGAGGGGGGGGGGGGTGCGGTCCGCAAAAATGTGTTCTGTTTCACATATTTTTTCGTCTGCAATTTATGTGTTTGTTTGAGTGAAAATTTATGTGTCTTTTGCGCACCATGGCACTGCCACCTTCATATCTAGGTGCGCAGACCCCCATTGAGAACCCTTTGACAGGTCTCAAAGTACTCTTATAGCCGTAGACGTTTCATCTCTTGGGGTTTATGTTGGCCTACATGGTGTTACACACAAAATGTGTACGATTCATTGTCACCAATGAGGAGGAGAAAATTTGGACTTTAGAAAATGTTTAGAGTAAGAGAGAAAGTGAGAGAAAGGGAGAGAGAAAGAGAGAGAGAGAGAAAGGGAGAGAGAGAGAAAGGGAGAGAGAGAGCGAGAGAGAAACACGCTGAATTTTTTTTTAAAAGAGTGAGAAAACGGAAATGAAAGTAGTATAGATAAAGAGATAAATTCATATACATAATAATAATTAGTGATCTTTTATAGCGCGGTACCCCAGCCTAGGGCTGCGCTCACCGCGCTGTACATACACATATTATCAAAAGAGACATTATCATGACATGGAGGAAGTAAGAAAGGGAAACACCCCCCCCCCCCACAAAGGTAAAATAAATAAACTCTTTTTTTTAAAGACGATAGTTAAAGAATATACAAGAGAGTGTGTGTGAAAGAGAGAGAAATAAAGAGAGAGAGAGAGAGAGAGAGAGAGAGAGTAGAAAGAATGAGAGAGAGAGAGAGGAGGATTGAAAGAGAGAATGGAGAGAGAAGAGTGAATGAGAGAGGAGCAGTGTAAGAAATAGAGTAAGGAAAAGAGGGAGAGAGGGAAGGGAGAGAGAGGGTGAGAGGGAGAGAGAGCAGTAAGACAGAGAGTTGGAAATACACTCTGCCCATGGCTTTTAAAATGTCTCCTCCGTCTCATATTTCAATAAACAACAAAATGTGAGAACCCTTCAGAATCCCCCAAAAAACTAGTCTTGCAAGTACCTTAATGTTCCACATAGCTCAATATTATTCTCCCGACAGACACTCAGAAGGCAACTTTCATCCCATGCAAAGTTCAACGCTCTACCTAAAACTTCATTAGCCGTGAGCCATCGAATGTAAACTAGTGGCTGGGGAAATCTCAACGTGGTCAACAGTTTCACTGTAATTCTGGTGGTGTGACACTCATAATGTCTCCAGCAGTACATTCTGTTGATGGATATAACTTCCTTGGCTACACACAGCTAGGTCTCAAAATAAGATTCGAACCTCGTACATGTTCTTTACAATTCTTGTCGTATTTTCATTTGTCCTGTCTGCCGAGGAAGGCTCTGAGCTGAAACGTTCACGTCTTATTGCCCCGTCTTTTGATTAAAGCTTAACTTCCACGTACCATGTTCTACCATTTCATTCACACAGCTTGAACGCACTCCAATTATTTCATGTTCCCACTACACGAAATGGTGTTCGCCTATCTGACACAGGGACACTGGAAGTGTGACGTAAAAATGTTTTTTTGTTTTTTTTAAAATTATTTTTGAGGGTTAACAAAATGAAGAGAGACGTCAGTCGTTTTTTCAGGGTTCTTAAAAAAACGAGACTGAATTTCAAACAATTTCTTATTAATAACAATCGTACATAGAAGAGTAAAGCATTGAAGAGACGGAACATGATCTGAAGTTCACTCAAAGATGAGTGTAGCCCCGGTCCGATTCTATGAGACGTCGCACACAACTATTTATCCTTTAGTTAGTAAGCACATATTGCAAATAAAATTACTAAAACTTATTTTCTCTTAGTTCCAATGGACTATTTATCCATACAAGAGTAGGCCCAATACGACCCTCCCTCTTCTCTCTCTCCCACTTCCCCAAGCCCAAAGTTAGGGCCGAACCGATAAGACTCGACTTCAATTATTGCAGCTTAGACTCGCTGCTTCTAATGCTGGAAGTCATTCGTTAACTGAGTTGTGTATCCACTGGCCCCTCTACGCCCTACACTTGCTTCTAGAACCACAAGTAAATCCACACCACTCTTTCTGCTTCTAGACCACAAGTCCCCCCAGTCCCTATATTTCTAGATCCACACAGATCCCCCCACCACAGCGTCAAGCAAAAACACATTCCTCCACAACCACAGCGTCAAGAAAAACACATTCCTCCACTATCACAGCTTCAAGAAAGAACACATTCCTCCACTACAACATCTTCTAGATACATTTACATCCCTTCATTCCACATCTTCTAGATACACACTTACATCCTCCATTACCACAACTTTTTTTTATCCACACTTACATCCCTCCACCCTCACAACGTTTAGACCCACACTTACATACTCCCATCTCCACGGCATCTAGACCAGTGGTACTCAAAAACAGGAAATTCTGAGGACCCCTAATCTAGACCCACACTTACATCCCCTCAACCTTAACAGCTTCTAGACCAGCGGTTCTCAACCTGTGGGTCGCGACCCCTTTGGGGGTCGCACGACCCTTTCCAACGGGTCGCGAAGACCATCTGAAACACATATGCTCTACAGTTATGAAGTAGCAACGACAATAATTTTGTGGCTGGGGGTCGCCACAACATGAGGAACTATATTAAAGGGTCGCGGCGTTAGGAAGTTTGAGAACGACTGTTCTAGACCCACACTAATTTGATTGCACAATGTAAATTGCTTGCTATCATCTCTGCCTGACCCCACCCCCTCCCACACTTACCACATTTGAATTCTCTGGTCGGTAAGGGAAGTGTGATGACGTCAGCTGTCTCGAGTTGAGCCGCGGCAAGGCCGACACAGATGGCCAATGCGACGTCATCAGTGCTCCCAGTAAAATGGCCACGAACAGATTTGCGCTCATGATTGAACAATGTGCTGAAGTAAAAAAACAACAATACATTAGCTATTCAACTACTCCAGGTACGTTTTTTTTAAAAATGTGCGTGTGTTCGTGAGTGTGTGTGTGTGGGTGCACGTGTGTGTGTCTGTATGTGGAGCAAACGCATCTCATAATGACAGTAACAGCGTAATTATATATATATATATATATATATATATATATATATATATATTTATATATAATGTACCAAAGTTGAGGAAATTGATCCCGTTTCTGCACAGTTTAGGAACCTTTTTTTTCCAGTTGATAATTTATCCTCTAAATTCTTAAATGAGCACCTCATCAAAACACTTAGTAACCTTACCCACCGTGAGTCTACTGTATTAGTTATGTATGGCTATTGATCTATTCCGCTTGGCTTGTAACCGGTCCCCCAAGATTTTATCCTTTGTATTAGTTAAGCATGGGAATACAGATCTTGTTGACACCATTTGAGAATCAAAAAGGGAAACCTTTCTAAGTGTTTATGATAGAGCTTGCTTTCTTACAGCCTACCATTAAAAATAAACATGTTAATTTCTTTTAATTGAAAGGGAGCAAGTAATTGGAATCGAGGGAAATGTAAAATTTTCACCAAAAAATCTCTGGAAATTTCAAATATTGCAAAACGGATAATTTTTTTTTTGTTCTTCAAAATTCTTGTGATAGAAAATGAATTCACTACTTCGAAGTCTTCAATTAACTAATGACTGGAGTGTTGGACCGCGATAAAGCTTTCAAGTAGAATAATTAGACAAAATGATTTATGTAAACAAAATTTTTTTTTACATGTTTAGCTTTAATAATGATGACACAGAATACAAATGCAAACTTTTCGGCAAATGATGTAGAATGGGCTTATTCTTTAATTTTAGGTTGGATATATATATATGTGTGTGTGTGTGTATGTGTGTGTACGTGTATGTGTGTTTAAGCCATTGCTGCCACCTAGATTAATAAACGTAGAAAATCATTGTCTTTTTCACTTCAACTTGGTAGAATGAATCTATTTTAGGGTTGCCAACAGTCGGTCAATTTACGGACATTTCGTAAGGTTTGAAATCAAATGACATGTCCTCAAATGACATGTCCGCAAATGACATGTCCGCAAATGACATGTCCTCAAATGACATGTCCGCAAATGAACTGTCCTCAAATGACATGTCCGCAAATGACATGTCCGCAAATGACATGTCCGCAAATGACATGTCCGCAAATGACATGTCCGCAAATGCTGTAAATATTTTGGGATGTCCGTAAAAAATTAGACATTGCACAAATGTTTTTGAAGCGAAAAAACCCGCAAAAAACGAAGAATATCAACGTCTGTGATTTTTTTTTTATTTCACATGTGAAACTAGTAGAAACATAATCAGGAGAAATACAACACTGATGAGAATTCTATACAATAAAATAGCATATAAAATAAGCCCAAGTTATTAGCCATACAGATATTGTCATCCAATAATAAAATTCTAGTCCATAGCATATTGGAATATTTTTAGCTTCCTTAGTTTATTTTAAAAAATGTGTCCTTAAAAGTATTTATTTTTCCGTTAAAAAAAAAACAAACAAACAAACATGCAATTTTAAAATATTTGTGGCTAAAGTTTGGATTTTGGAGTTGACAACCTGATCTGTTTATGCTGAAACGACATTTATAAACATAAAAATCCAATAATAAATTAATTTAAAATTAAAAAAAATAATAACCTCAATATGGATCAATAGAATTTCTTTGAAAAAATGTATCGTCATATTTTGTAACAAAAAAAAACATGTTTTTATTTTGAAACAATGAAATCAATATCGGGAATTTTTAAAACAGAGCAACCTGGACACTGTCTTTGGAGTTAAGTAATAAATTTCTTTGACTTCTTTTTATGGTCTTCGATTGAAACCTCTTTGCTTTCAAAGGTCTTTGCAATAGGCAGCAAATCTCTGATTGTCTCATCTTTAGCAATTTCTAAAAAAAAAAACAACTATGCATGTCTTGACGTTTGTGCATGAGCCGTGACGTCACTACGGAATGCGGGGAGGGGGGTGTGTGTGGATACAGTCACCACTTTATGGTGTCTTTATAAATCTATACACGTATTTGGTTTTTAATTTGGTCTTATGTAGTTCTAAACTGAAACATTTCTGCGTTAACGTGAAAACGCTTTAACTTCTTTGGTTTAAACGATGTCAGGTGATTTGTTTTCGGGTTTTTATCCTCGTTACCTTAAACAAAAAGTTCTCTATCATCTCAGTCTAAAGCACACCCACTTAACCCTCATTCTAATGTGAACATGTCTGACATGTGTGTACGTTCGAAGTGAAACGAAAACGTTTTTCTAATGAATTATAAGTTCCTTGACATATGTTGGTGCCTTCAACCAGGCCCTGTTTACCCCAGGGCCGGACCTGTTTACCCTAAGGTCGTACCTGTTTACCCCAGGACCGGACCTGTTTACCCCAGGGCCGGACCTGTTTACCCCAGGGCCGGACCTGTTTACCCCAGGGCCGGGCCTGTTTACCCCAGGGCCAGACCTGTTTACCCCAGGCCCGTACCTGTTTACCCCAAGGCCGGACCTGTTTACCCCTACGCTTTCGCCGTAGTAACTGCGTATCAAGCCTAAGACAACGGCACTACGATAAACCTAAAACAAAACTACGGTTTCATGAGTTTTTTTTTCTTATGTTTGGTGTAATTTTAATTTTAAAAAAATATTGGTGTATGTCTTCAGTAAAAGGTTGCCACATTTTAATGTAAACGCTTGAAGCCTTTGCGGTATCGATTTCAATAAACCAACCGGAATATTATATTTTAAACAATTTCGTTGTTATTACTTAACTGCTATTGTGCTTGCGTGATACCTTTTCACATCCTTAACGAACAAAGCGCAAATCTATATCCTGTATATTTATTTGTGTTTACTTACATAAGCAGTTGAGTGGATTTTTTTTAACACGTTGTATTTTGATTGCAAACCAAAACTCATAGGAGTTTGGAACTACGTTTTTGAGAGCTGAAAGCTACGCTGGCACTCACCCAGGGGTAAACGGCTCTGCCTCCAACTTTTCTATTATTTTACAGTCGCTAAATATCCTCACGAATGAAAAATTTATTTATTAACACGGAAAACGTAAAATTCAAATTGACGGATACAATGTTAAAAACATTCAACCAAACACGTTATACGACTGAAATGTCGCGCCTTTAAAAATTCAAATTATTTCTAGATGTTACCAATTAGAGCTCTGGCAAAACTTACAATTGTGTAGTTGCGTCAAGTCTTTTATTTGTTTACCTAGATGAGCAAATGTAGCAAACATAATTCGAGGATTAATTTCTACTACTTACATTGGTTAGGTTTTTCGAAGTTCAAAAAAAATACTAATCTCTAAACAAGAGATGGATATTTCTACCGAAATTCCAACAGAAGAAAAGAAAAGTAGTGCCCAAGAACCCACTTCTCAAACTCTCAGACCCCCCGTCATCAAGATTCTCAGGATGGGCTGAAAGCGTGCGAGCTACACGACTTGTCCAATGGCTGACGTTGCTTGGCGTCACGTGGTGCCGTGGCGCGTGCGACCAAAAAAAAAATGAATTCTTTGGTTTTTAATGTTTGCCATGACAAAGAAATCAGATCGCGTTGCCTCGGGATGTTGCGTTGATAACGACCGGAACCTGGCTTTTCTTATTTCGGGGGAGCAGAACCTCTGATATTCTCAGATGTCAAAACGAAGGAATGTTATGGAGGAAACTGTGTAGCCGGCACTAGGACAATGGAAATAATGAATGGGTCATAAGCATCCAGTTATATATATTTTTTTTGAAGGAGGGCAATGGGATCAGAGAATAATTTAGTTAATTTAATAATTTAATTTGTTGAGAACAGACAGAATTGAGACTACCGTATTCAAGACCGGCAAAAGTGGTGACCAATGTTCCCTTTAATCTTCGCGGCTGCGCGACTGCGCGGCCGTGCAGCTATCTCACAGACGCCGCGCAGCAGTTTCGAGTATCCGTACAGCAAATTTCCATTTAAGTGTGTGTGTGTTTGTGGGCTGTAGAATTATGCACACACAAAAATTGATGCTGTAAAACTTTGCTCACAACTGTATGATTTTGCACACGAACCAATAACTCTTAGAGGGAACAATGGTGGTGACATGTTAAATTCGGGCGTTGGGGGGTTGGGGACCCTGGGTACAGCGAATGTACGCTTCCGTTGGTCCTTATAATTGTTTATAACTATCAGCTGGACACGCTTCAAGAACTAAAAGCTTGCTGTTCCTAATGAATGACCCATTAACTCCTTGTCTCGAGCTTTTTGGTTCCAGGGGACACTTTGCATTATTGATAACCCGACCCGTCACATGGCGTGGGGTCACTTAAAGGATATTTAAATTTTACAATTTTTGACAACCCTAACTGTTATGTGAAATCAAATAGTTGGGGGACAGCCTCAGATAAACATATTCAATATCATCAAAGTCAGTTAGTTTGCTTCATATTAAGTGATTTATTGAATAATCTATCTGTCAAAATTAACCATTTATTCACACAAACTAAATGGCAGCTAAAAAAAAAATAGTTTTTAATAAAATAATTTCTTAAAACGTTAGGATGACCTGTGCTGGAGTTAAGGTTACTTTTCTGAATAATCCGTGGATGTTTGAGCAGACGACTCCTCGGATTTGGCATCGACTTTATTTATTTTTTCCAGACTTTTTTTTTTTCGACCTGATTTAAACAACGAATACGGTGATAACAGATTATCTCCACTAAAATCTCGGAGATCAGATTCCCGTGACGTCATCTCCACACGATGAAAGAAATAATAGGACGCCACTGAAATTAGAATTTAAATATTAAAAAAAAATTATTCAAGTGACTTCCGCGCGACAGCTTAAAGACTAAATTGGAGTCAGATTCCAAGCCAATAAGTTTATCTCTGACTCCCAGTCGTCGACTCGCTAATGCTCGAGACGACCAGTCTTCACCCGCTTACATTTATTTTTAGAAAGAGTCCTCGGAGAAAACACTTTGATGGTAATGTGAAGTAGAGCTTCGCATAAAAATAATGGATTATCCTTGGATCGGAATACATATTTGAACAGCTAATAAATCCTGTCCCAGACGGACTTGTCTCTCCAAGCTAGGATTCGATGAGGTCAGTCAGTTGTGATGTCAAATGATAAATTTGACCATGGGGGAGGCTGACCCTGTCTGGGGCAATAAACAAAAGTTACGATTAATTTTTAAAAAAATTTTCTTAAACTTGTTTAAGTGAATTTTAAAGTGGTGTTTTAAAACAGAAGTGGTATTATTATCACAGGTCGTTAACAATGTAACAGACAGCTAATGAAATCAGTTAAGGCAGGGTACAGCAACTATGACAAGGGTGGTACATACAAACAATGTGTTTGGAAGGGTGGACAACAAAGACAAGGGTGGTACATACAAACGATGTGCTGGGCACTAAAATGAAAAAAAGGGGATGGGCGGCCAAGAGGTTAAATCTGTACACACCCAAACTGATTCCCGGGAATGATATATTTTTAGGCTGCACCTCGTTTGAATATCCGAACACACGAACATATTTAAGCGTTTTTTTTTTTTTGTCCTTCAATTTTATTGTTCAACAATACCTCGCGGTTACTTTGGATTCAAGCCATTCTCAGAATTAAAGAGAGAACTTTTGACAGAGGCACACTATTCCTCGAAAATGTCACATATCCAATTTAATTCACTTTTTTTTCCCAGTAAGCTTGGTGAACTTGTGGTTTTTCTTTTTTTTTTTCTACACTTGGTCTGGGTATTTTGAGACAATATTTGGTCGGTCAAAGTTCGGTTTCTTCTTATTTACAGCCCTGGGAGCCGGTTAAAGTTTTGTTCTTTGTGAGGGTATTCCTAGTATCCGGTTTCTAACCGGCTCAGCCTAGTTCATATCAAAATAACCAAGAAAATATAATATTCTTATTTTTTTAAAATAAAAATTATAAAAGACTGCTCCAAAAATAAATGAAAGTGGGGAAATGGTGGGGAGGGGGTATGAGATATTAATATATGATCTTTGTCCACTAATATTTACGAAGTAGCTATTCGTACTCGGGTACCAGAAGTGAGAGGTTGGGATTAAAAAAAAAAGATATTAACAATTTTATTATTGGGTTTGTAAGACAAAATGAGACACTGAGTCAATAAAGCACTGGGTCGAAATGGACCCAGACACGCAGCGGAGTCATTCGCACTTGGGTACCTTTAGGCTCAAGCTATACGGATGTCGTGTGTGATCGTTTATTTTAGTTAAACGGAAGAAGTAAGTTTACAAAAATACAGTCCATTCAATTATCTTTCATTTGATACCTCATTTTGTCTCACAAACCCAAAAATAATATTTTAAATAGTTTTTTTAATCCCAACCTCTCACTTCTGGTACCCAGGTACGAATAGTCGCAGCCTAATAATTTATGGATGATACGCCCCAAAAGTCAATAACGCCACCATAACTAGATATATTACACCATAAAGACATATATATAGTACACCATAACTACATATATTACACCATAACTACATATATTACACCATAACTACATCTGTGTTTACTAAGCAGATAAAAATTGACTCTTCTCAGATTTTCTGGTCAATTTATAAGATACAAATTGACTTTTCTCAGATTTTCTGGTCAATTTATAAGATACAAATTGACTTTTCTCAGATTTTCTGGTCAATTTTATAAGATACAAATTGACTTTTCTCAGATTTTCTGGTCAATTTATAAGATACAAATTGACTTTTTGAAAATTTAAAATCAAGAAAATCTTGCGAACTATTTATACCAGCCCCATGGTTATTTAGCATGCCGAAGTGTCTAGTAAATTAAATACATGAACGACACTCGTAAACGCAATGGAATTATTTGATTATTTTATTTTTTTTTTAAAGAATCATATTATACACATCATACGCCGCCTAGTCTGAAATTAAAATTAATGATATGAGAACATGGTTTGAAAAGTAAGCCGAAATACTGAAGAAAAAACTGATTACAACTTTAAAAAAATAAAATACTTGATCCCTTTTCTGAACCACGCTAAATTTAGGTCATGTATTTAGGACAAACGTTTTGATGATAAGCGTGTACAGTCATTGGATCACTAGCATTGATGCGGCATCTCTACGACAAAGTCTAAGTAGCCAAAAGTACACTGATGAATTCTAAATCAAATCTCTTAGTTCAAATTCAAGATAAATCCTTAATAAACAATAATGAGTTGATATTAATCAATAGAGATATTTAAAACCTGTCATTTCATGGGGTGCGAATCGGGGTTTTTCGGGAGTTTTAAAGCGCATTTCAGGGGTGCAGGTAGGCATTTCAGGGGTGCAAGTAGGCATTTCAGGGGTGCTGGTAGGCATTTCAGGGGTGCAAGTAGGCATTTCAGGGGTGCAGATAGGCATTTCAGGGGTGCAGATAGGCATTTCAGGGGTGCAGATAGGCATTTCAGGGGTGCAGATAGGCATTTCAGGGGTGCAGATAGGCATTTCAGGGGTGCAGATAGGCATTTCAGGGGTGCAGATAGGCATTTCAGGGGTGCAGATAGGCATTTCAGGGGTGCAGATAGGCATTTCAGGGGTGCAGATAGGCATTTCAGGGGTGCAGATAGACATTTCAGGGGTGCTGGTAGGCATTTCACTGACCACTGGCATTACTAACCACTGGCATTACTGACCACAGGCATTACTGACCACTGGCATTACAGGTAACTGACATTAACGACCACTGGCATTACCATTCTCTGGCATTAACGACCACTATCATCGCCGACCACATTTTATTACCGACCATAGATCGAATTCCAGATGGGAATAAATGTGTTTGCTTTAAAAGATATGTTGGACGGTTTGGAATTAAATCTACGAGTTCATCAGACCTGCGGCTTCGACTTTGCTACGAGTTCATCAGACCTGCGGCTTCGACTTTGCTACGAGTTCATCAGACCTGCGGCTTCGACTTTGCTACGAGTTCATCAGACCTGCGGCTTCGACTTTGAATCGGGCTGTCTCGGGTACAAAATTAAGGTGAAAAGCCACTTATGAATCTCTATTTTTTTTACCTGAACTATCGGACGAACAGATTTTAACCTCAATAAATGTAATACCTGACCCTGAGCATCGTTGTTCTCTAGTAAATACTTTATTTGACCTCTAGTTTCTGAACTCGGAGCGAAAAATTTCACTTCAAGGAATACTGAACGAATTGAGAATTCTTGAAAATTATTATATTAAATATTTACTACACAAAAAATATTCACAAAATTCCGTAGAGGCAACAGGAAATAAGATAAGGTCATCAGTAAAATAAATTTGTATCACTAGTTGATTTCAAAGAGTTTTGTAAAACGTGTTACGTCAAAATTAAAACGAAATAAATTTAATTATATTAAATCGAAATAATTCATACTACATTCA